TAGTCAATGAAGCACTTTTTGAAATATGGTCACTGTTACTACTTGGGAAATAGTGCCTGTTTTATTATCACTATCTCACCTCAGTCAATATTTTAGAATATAAAAAATTTACAAAAGATAGTACTAGCAGGGAACTAGTAAACCTAAATAAATTACGGATGTATCTCCAAAGACTGCAAGGAAATTAGAATCAAAGACAGAAAATTACCAGGCTAATGTTGTTAAACAGCAAGACCATCCTAGCATGTTTTTTGTTTTTGGTTTTTTCTGGTTTCCAGGTGCTTGAGTTAATCACTCTTGACTTGGAAAATGAGAGCTCTTGCTTAATTCAGAATTGCCATCCTGACCGTTAGGAGGCTGCTCAGGCTAATGTCTTATTACACCAAAACTGACACTCTAGTACATCTGTGAATGTGGCCTCATGGAAACACTTACCCCACGTACCTTGGCTACCTGGCTAATTAAATCCTATATCTTTACAGACAGTACAATACAGAATGCACATTATTGGTGCTTTTGGTGTATGGTTGCAACACTGTTACAGATAGTGGCCACATGTTGGGAAAGCCAATACAACATGCAAAGGCTATAATTTGAAGCACTGACTTCCTTCTGGTCACTTATCTCCAATCGCCAAAGGCCAGATCATGACAGTCTGACATGAAGTGGCAAGGGTTGCTAGTGTAGCCAATCACTGCAGAGATTATTAGGCTTTGCTGAACTGGGACTGGGCAAATTATTTCTAATAATCAGTCTAATTTAGATTACTGAAAAAATGATTGAAAGAGACATCCCTGCAGTTGATTTAATAAACATGATTGCTGCCTATCAATTTGTAATTTGAGGCTAAAATATACTTCAAATAGGATGGCTATATCTGATATGTGGTTCCAAGTGAAGGAAGATCTAAAACAAAAGTCTGCATTTAGCAACCTAGCCATTTAGTTGATTAGGAGCACTGTAAAGGTCAACGTTCCCTTCAGCCTAAATTGAACATTTGCTTCTCATTTAAGTCACAAGCACATGATTCTTCAGTAGATATTGTTCAGAGCTATTTCTCCTGGAGCGAGATAAGGATTTGACAAAGAAGGTCTTGCATCACTAATATGATCTGACTGTGGTAGCAAGTATTCTATTTGATTTAAATTCGACAACAGAATTTTAAGAAAAAAAGAGTAAGTGTTAAGCCAGCAATTGTTGCAAAAGAGAATTCAGAACGGATGTTGTGATTTAGTTTTAGCCAAGAGGTCTATTGTGTTGCAGTGAATATTCTTTAAGATTATATAAGTGTTTGGCTAGACAGCCAGGAACTTTGTATAGTGCTCTAAACATAGCAAAAACAAAATTGAAAAGGTATTTTGCAATTATTATAAATGAAAAATTGGACGTTGAGCCATGTCAAGCATTATTAGGCAAGATAGCCATAAGCTTGGTCAATGGATAGATTTTAATGAGCTTCTTGAAGCGCAAGAGAGAGGAAGATAGAGACAGAGGGATTTCAGGACCTAGACACAAGCACAGCAGCAATCGGGTGTTCAAGATGCCAGAATGTAATGGGTATAGATATTTTGAATGGTCGTGGGGCTGTTAGAGATTACAGTGCTAGGAAAGCACAAAGATTTGAATGGATTTGTAAACAAGAATGAGATTTCTAAACCAAGATGTAGAATGTGGAGACTAGTAGGGGTGCATTGGAATAGTTGAATCTAGAGGTCACGGATGCACGAATGAGTGTCTCAACAGTAGATGAAACAGGTGAGAAGCCTGACAGTGTTACAATGTGAAACTAGACCATCTTATTTCATAGGGAAAGGTTTTTCACTTGTGGGGAAGGTTCAAAATTAAGGGCCATAACTATAAGAAAGTATTATATCCAATAGGGAATTTAGGAGGTTTTCTTCATCTAGGGAGTGGATTAAATGTGAAACTCACCCCTACATGGAATATTTGAGGTGATTTGAATAAAATTAAAAGGAAATTCTGTGCATCAGGGAGCAAAGACTATACAGATAGTAGGAACTGCAGATGCTGGTGAATCCGAGACAACAAGGTGCAGGGCTGGATGAACACAGCAGGCCAAGCAGCATCAGAGGAGCAGAGAGGCTGACGTTTTGGGCCTAAACCCTTCATCAGAAAAGCAAAGACTAGACAGATGTTTTGGATGGAGGAGAGTCTTGTAAAGCATAAAGAATGGCAAAGCAGTTGGGCTGAACAGCTTATATTTGCAATGTAAATACTGTGTACTTATACATAATAAAACTTGGGAGAGATGTAAAATGGGCTGCCAACTCTCCATCACACGTTTTACACTTGCACACAAAGCCAGGATCTGTGACAGGGTGAAAGGAATAAGTGCAACCAGGCTGACACTTTCATGCTAGAAGCTTCTTTGTTCATTGTACTAATGTTATTGAAGGTCAGGTCAATGACAGTCACTTCTGACTTCTGGCATAAGTGAGGAACTGGATGATACGAGCCCTGCCACCAATTAATCTCCCCAGGTTGAAGACTATGGCAAGAGAGAACAGGAGAGGTGTTTTAACATGCAGTCTAGCCCATATTCCCAGATCTGCTCTGCTGCTTGCAATCTTGATTTTTCACCTTGATGGTTTTGGTCATTCAAAAGCAGGAGACTTATATTGAATTATCTTTGTTATTGTAAGTTGCTTGGCAACTTCTTGAAGATGTCATATGGCTGATTGTGTGCTGCGCAGCTCCATGAGACTGCAGTTCTGAGGAAGGGTCACCAGACCCGAAATGTTAACTCTGATTTTCTCTTCTCAGATGCTGCCAGAGCTCCTGATCTTTTCCAGCAACTTCTGTTTTTGTCCATGAGACTGCCATCTGTATATGACATCCTTTGTTTACCTTTATTGCAGGATACACTGAATAACAACTCATTTGGCAAAAAGTACAGCTGGCAAGAAAAGGTGTCCCGATCCTCTTCCCCACTCAAAACAGGTATGTGTTCCTGCACTATGCTAGTCCCTGATGACGTGTTTGTTTTGGCGCTGAAACTTTGAGTAAAATTTACTAACTGGTTTCTTAAACCATCAGTCTTGTCCAGTGAGCTCTAGGGGTGCGTATTGCACAAGGATGTTTTTAAACAAAAACGAAGTGAATGTTGTGTTGTGTTTGGAACAGGACCTTGCATCGTATAGCCTCCTTAACACAGTAAAATATTTAAGGCTCTTCACTGGAGAGTTATCAGACAAACATTTTGGCTCCGAGCCAGATCAGGCAATATTAAGAGATGTGACTCAAAGCCTGGCCAAATTAAGTTTGCCTTTGTCCCAAAAGACAAGGGTGTGTAGAGCAACAGAGAAGTTTAGGAAGGATATTCTTAAGCTTAAGCTCCATACAACTGAAATTAAACCTGCCAATGATGAAGTGAAAGATATAAAGATGTGTGCAACACCAGAATTGGAGAGGTGCACTGATTTTTGCCCATTGATAAGTTGGAGGAGGCCACAAGGATAAGGGAGGGTGAACAGATATGTGGGAACACCACCATCTGCAAGTTTCCCTCCAAGCTGCTGTCCATCCTGACTTGGCAAAATGTTGCCATTCCTTCACTGTTGCTATGTCAAAATCCTGGAATTCCTCCCTAATGGCATTGCAGACTGTAGTGAATCAAGAAGGCAGCTCGCTATCATTTTCTCAAGAGCAACTAGGAATGGCTAATAACTGCTGGCTGACCAGCAACACCTATGTCCCATGAATGAATAAAGAAAGGACATTAAAGGATTTGAAGGTGAGGATAAGAATTTTAAATTCGAGGTGTTAGCTGAATGGGATTTGGTGAGCATAACTGAGTGGCATTAACTCTGGAGTCAGAGAGTAAGGAGGTCTATCATTGAATTTCTGACAGCCCTTCAACAAGCAGAAATAATCCTGTCCCACAGGAGAGATCATGACTTTAAATTGTCTGAATGCATTCCCATGGGAATATGTGACCAGGGAAACCAAATGTTTTCTCTTCCTTTAGCCACAAGTACTGCCTTCTTTAAGGCCTGACTTAACATCTCTTTCCCCAGCATTTGGTTGCTGTGGTAGGAGAGAGTTCCTCGCTTGGCTTGTTGTTGGTTTAGCCTGATTATGCTTCTGTGAAGCATCTTGCTCATTTTCGTTCAGGAACTCTATAAATGCAGCTAGTTGCTTCAATGGAATAAAAATTGGGTTGATCCTTCAATGGGTGGATGGTCTGTCAGGCAGTACCAAGCAGCTGTGAAGTTGACAACCTACTCCCTAGTTATTTGCACAAAGCAAAATGTTTGGACTGCGGATGTCGTCGGAAATGTTTGCTTAACCATTAGCTGCCTTCCCTGAGATTTCTCACTGCACTTTCCCATATGACCTGATTTAACAACTGACAAAACTTTGTTGACCACTGCACTGGGAATCCAGTATTCTAATGTGTTCCTAACATGTATGATCGCATAAATAGGTCACTCAATCCCTTGAGTCTGTTCCATCACTCACTTAGATCATGGGAGATCTGATTTCTCCAAATTTTTGTCTACCCCGATGACTCTTCACCATCTTGCTTATAATCCTAACCCTATCTACTGCTGTTTTAAAAACAATCAAAGACTCTGCTTCCACTACCTTTTGAAAAATAGCATTCCAAAGACTGATGACATTCTGAAAAATAATTTCTCCTCATCTGTCTTAAATGGGTGACCCTTTATTTTAAAACAATGACTCCTCTTTCTAGATTCCCCCAAAAGAGGAAACCTTGCTACGCACATCTTTTCAAGACCTATCAGGAGATTGTTTTGATCATCTCCGACACTTCTAAACGCCAGTGATCCAAGCCTGGTCTGTCTAACCTTTCCACCCATTCCATCCATTAATCTAGTATGCCTTCCCTGAAGTGCTTCGTGTATTTACATCCTTCCTTAAATAAGAAGACCAATGCAGACACAACTCCGATGCAGTCTCGGCAATGCCCTGCATGACAGCGGAAATATAACATGCCTACTCTTGTATTCAATTCTCTTCACAAATTAAAAGATTACAGTCATGGTATTAGGTTTAATGACACAGAGAGGCCCTTCAGCCCATCCCATCAGGTAACAGCTGCAAGCTTCTGTGCTTTATACACCCTCATTGAGGCCTACTCCTCAGAGAATCCAGCGATGAGAAGGTAAGTTGTTTGTTTTTTTTTGTTTTTCAAGGAGTGAGGATCAGGTTGGGAGAGGGGCCAGGGTAGATTAGAGGCAATGGAAGGAGAATGGCTTTAAGAGGCCAGTCCCTTGCCTGCCACTCATGCTTCCAATTGCTATCAGATGGGGGCAGGTGACTGGGGAGGTGGTGAGTTGAGGTCCTTGAGTGGCCATTTCTTGACCACACTGGGGTCTTAATCGCTGACAAGTTGAGAAGGTCACCCATGGACCTTCTTGACAAGCACTTAACTGGTAAGGTAACAAGATTGGGGTGAGTTTCTCTCCAGTGCCAACTCGTCCCATTATTTCACCTTGCCTCCAAGATCCACCCTGTGTGTTTAACTAATTCCTTTCTCCACAGTTACCATTCAATCTGATTCCACCAGCCCAGTTTCTTCCAGATCCCAAACATCCGTTGGGTGGAAAGGCCTTTCCTCATGCTGCTACCTTTTTTTCTTTTAAAAATGACTTTTAATCTGTGTCTTTTCATTATTGACCTTCAGTCGTGGAAACTGTTTCTTTTGTTGGCTTTATCTAAAATTTTATGATTTTAAGCGCACCTTTTAGATCTGTTACTAACCTTCTCTGCTGAGAATTAGAATTGTTGTGGTGTGGATAGAGGCCATTTGGCCCATCATACCTGCACTGGTTCTATTACCTAGTGCCAATCCCTACCTTTCCTTCCCTCCCCACCCCTCCCCCACCACCCATATCCCTGCTCACCACATCCATCCAAATAATCATCCAATGTCCTCTTGAATGCTTCGATGGAACTTGCCGCCACCATAGTTCCAGGCAGTGCACTTTAAATTCACAACCCTATTTTAATGCTTTTTATTTTTCATAGCATGTGACTATATCACCAGCAAGGCCAGAATTTGTTTCCCCTCCCTCATTCCTTTTGAACTGAGTAAACTCGCTGGGTGATTTCGGAAGGCATTTAAAGTCTGGACTCGCATGTAGGCCAGACTGAGAGGCTGGCAGATTTGCCCCTCTAAAGAGCATTAATGAATCAGATTGATTTTGACCATCACTAGCAGCTTCTCGGTCACCATCACGGAGATCAACTTTAAATTCCAGATTTATTAATGGACTTCAAATTTCACCAGCTGACATTGTAGGATTTGAATCCATTGTGTTCCCAGAGCATTAGCTGGGGTCTCTTCATCAATAGTCCAGTGATCATTCCACCTTTCGCTTTGAGACGAGTCCAACTTCTAGTTATGATTTTAAAACTAGAGCTAATCATACAGTCATAGAATCCCCACAGTGTGGAAACAGGCCATTCAGCCAACTGAGTCCACACTGACCTTTCAAAGGGCATCCCACCTAAACCCACCCCTCTACCCTATTCCTGTAACCTTGCATTTCCCATGGTTGATCCACCTAGCCTGCACATCTCTGGACTCTTAACTCTGCTGATGTCGGAAGTCTACAGGGAGACATGACAGAAAGCTTCAAACACTTCTGTGCAGAGAACTGGACAATTTTAAAATAAAAAGATTGGAATTCTACAAGTGAACAATTACAGCAAAACCTGTTTGTGCCTGTTATTTTGTCCATTTGTTCGTCTGCCACTCTCTGTATCCTTGTACTGCATTCTGTCCCTTGTCCTCCCCTCCTTACTTTTCCCCCTCCTTTCCAGCTTCTTCCTCTTTCTTCCATTTCTTCCTTCCTTCAGTTTCCATCCCTATTTGCCCTTCTCTTTGCTCTTGCTCTCTTCCATCCTCCTGTCCCACTTCTCTTCCCTTCTCCACCACCACCACCTTCTGTATTCCTTCACCAAGCTCTCTTTCCTCCACACCATAACTTTCATTTCTCCTCCCTCCTTGCTCTTTATCATTCCTTCTCACAGTCCAGCCCCTTGGGCTATGTCCAAGTGATCATTTGTGCCTTTTGGCTGACAGTGTTTGCTGAGCAGTGCACAAGATGACTTTCTGTTTAAAGGCAATGCAGTGGCCGAGAGAATAGGGCAGCTGTTTTGTTTGGGATTGATGTCTTTTGTTTGGGACATTTGAATAAGCTTTTTTGTGTATTACAGGAGAGGTGACTCCCGCTCATGGGTGCCTAGGAGATGAGGTGAAACCAGCAAGTGGCATCACTGACAAAGCGGCATCGACTGCCCAGGTCAACACCTGCAGGCGGGCACCACCAGGACAGAGCGAGACTGTGGCTTCCAATGCCACAGGATGCTCGGCACCAGCGATGGCCTCTAACCAGCGGGGGAAGGATAACGAAGGCCAACACGACGAGCACATTCGGTACCAAACACAGGTGCCTATTGAGGCGACCGAGGAGATCTACCTAACTCCGGTGCAAAGGAACTCTGACTCCTCGGAAAACGAGAAGCCCTTCCTGTCTCAGTCCAACGAGAACCGTATGTCCATCAGCTCGGATGTAGACCTCACTCACTGCCTGACCCTGCCAGGGAACCCGAAACCATCAATCAGCGAAGAGGACGAAGTGCTCTCGTGCCTTTCCACGTCTCACAGCTGCTCGTTGCCACGAACCTCTCTCAACGCAGAGCAGCTCTGCCCACGGACCTCGGTCAGCTCTGACAGTGCGCTGTCCTATGACTCGGTTAAATACACCCTGGTTGTGGATGACAACATGCAGTTGGAGCTGGTGAGCCTAAAGCACTGTTACTCAGGGTACAGCGATGACAGTGATTCAGCAACCGTCTATGACAACTGTGTTACATCGCCGTACGAGTCTGCGATTGGGGAGGAATATGAGGAGGGTGTGCTGAAGAGGGACTCAATCTGTCTGTCAGAAGACTCCACACCAGAAGCAGATATTCCTTTCTCCAAGAAATTCCTCAATGTTTTTATGAGTGGAAGATCAAGGACATCTAGTAAGTAGTTTCCAATTTTTCCAAACCAGGATTCGATGACTGACCAGTGAATGGCTGTGGGCATGTGTGTAATGTTGTAGAAGTAAGTCAGTCATGATTTGGAGTCATTGAGGTTCCCAGGCTTAACTTCCCAAACAAATCCTCTCAGGTCTTACGACACGTAAGAATGTTAGACACGAACATAAATAGTCCATTTTGGCTCTTCAAGCCTGTTCTACAATTCAGTATATCACACCTGATGTTTACCTGTGGGCAGCACAGTGTCTCGGTGGTTAGTACCGCTGCCCCTCAGCACTGGGGACCAGGGTTTGATTCCACCCTCCGGCGACAGGAATGGTTGTTGGAAGTTCCGGGATTTAGATGCTTTAAAAGAAATAGGGAGGGTGGATAAAGAGGCAGGGGAGTGGCATTGCTAGTCAGGGCTAGTATAGCAGCTACTGAAAGGCAGTTCGAGAATGATATGTCTGCAGAGTCAGTTTGGGTTGAGGTCAGGAAGAAGAAAGGAGCAGTCACTTTGGGGTTCTTTTTACAGACCCCCTAATAGTTGCAGAGAAGTGGAGGAGCGGATTGGGAGGCAGATACTGGAAAGTTGCAGAAGTCACAGGGTTGTAGTCATGGGTGACTTCAACTTTCCAAGTATTGATTGGAAACATTTTAGTTCTAATAGTTTAGATGGAGAGGATTTTGTCCAGTGCGTTCAGGAAGGTAGACCAACACGAGGAGGGGCCACTTTGGATTTGGTGCTTGGCAATGAACCGGGCCAAGTGTCAGACCTGTTGGTAGTAGCATTTTGGCAGTAGCAATCATAACTCTGTTACTTTTACAATAGTCATGGAAAAGGATAGGCCCATCCAGCAGGGTAAGGTTTATAATTGGGGGAAGGGTAATTATAATTCTGTTAGGCAAGAACTGGGTAACATAAAATGGGAACAGATGCTGTCAGGGAAGAACACTATAGAAATGTGGAGATGGTTTTAAGGAATGCATACTGCATGTGCTCGATATGTTGCGGGAAGATGCGGTCAAGTGAGGGAGCCTTGGTTCTCGAGAGAGGTCGAATGACTGGTTAAGAGGAAGAAGGATGCTTTCCTAAGTTTTAGGAAACCAGGATCGGAAAAGGCTCTAAAGGGATACAAGTTAGCCAGGAAGGAGCTGAAGAAAGGGCTTAGAGCTATAAGGGGGCATGAGAAAACCTTGACAGATAGGATCAAGGAAAACTCCAAGGCTTTTTACACGTACGTGAGGAATAAGAGAATGACCAGAGAAAGGGTAGGGCCAATCAAGGATTGTAAAGGGAATTTGTGCATGGAGCCTAAAGAGATAGGAGAGGTCCTTAATGAATACTTTTCTTCGGTACTGACAACTGAGGGACCTATTTGTAGGGGAGGACAGTGTGAAACAGGCCGGTTTGCTAGAGGAGGTGGATGTTAGTAAGGAAGATGTACTAGGGATTTTGAGGAACTTGAAGATTGATAAATCCCCTGGGCCTGATATGATTTATCCAAGGATTCTATGGGAAGAGATCGCAGGGTCTTTGGCGATGATCTTTTCGTCCTCACTGTCCACAGGTATAGTGCAGGATGATTGGAGAGTGGCGGACGTCATTCCCTTGTTCAAAAAAGGGAATAGGGATAACCCTGGAAATTACAGGCCAGTTAGTCTTACTTCAGTGGTGGGCAAATTATTGGAAAGGGCTCTGAGAGATAGGGTTTATGATCGCTTGGATAGTTTGATTCATGATAGTCAGCATGGATTTGTAAGGGGTAGATCATGCCTCACAAACCTTTATTGAATTCTTTGAGGTGACCAAACACGTGGATGAAGGTGGAGCAGTGGATGTGGTATACATGGATTTAAGTAAGGCATTTAATAAGGTTCCCCATGGTAGGCTCATGCAGAAAGTAAGGAGGCATGGGAAAGAGGGAAATGTGGTAGATTGGATTCAGAATTGGCTGACCCTTAGAAAACAAAGGGTGGTAGTGGACGGAAAATATTCAACATGGTGCTCAGTTACGAGTAGTGTACCACAAGGATCTGTTCTGGGTCCTCTTCTATTTGTGATTTTTGTAAATGATTTAGATGTAGGAGTGGAAGGGTGGATTAGTAAGTTCACGGACAATACGAAGGTGGGTCGAGTTGTGGATATTGCGGAGCGCTGTTCTAGGTTACAAAGGGACATTGATAGAATGCAGAGCTGGGCTGAGAAGTGGCAGATGGAGTTTAACCCTGAAAAATGTGAGGTGATGCATTTTGGAAGGACAAACTTGAAAGCAGAATACAGGGTTAATGGAAAGATTCTTGGTAGTGTGGAGGAGCAGAGGGATCTCGGGGTTCATGTCCACAGTTCCCTGAAAGCTGCCGCCCAGGTGGATAGAGTTGTTAAGAAGGCATATGATGTGTTAGCTTTCATTAATAGAAGGATTGAGTTCAAGAGCTGTGAAGTTATGCTCCAGCTATACAAAAGCCTGGTTCGGCCACATCTGGAGTATTATGTCCAGTTCTGGTCACCTCATTACAAGAAAGATGTGGAAACATTGGAAAAGGTGCAGAGGAGATTTACCAGGATGTTGCCTGGAATGGAGGGAAAGTCTTACGAGGAAAGATTGAGAGAGCTAGGGCTTTTCTCTTTAGAACAATGAAGGATGAGAGGTGACTTGATAGGGGTGTACAAAATGATCAGAGGTATAGATAGAGTGGACAGCCAGAGACTTTTTCCTAGGGTGGAGGTAGCTATTGTGAGGGGGCATAGTTTTAAAGTGAGTGGAGGTAGATATAGGGGAGACGTCGGAGGTAGATATAGGGGAGACGTCAGAGGTAGGCTCTTTACTCGGAGAGTGGTTGGGGCGTGGAATGCGTTGCCGGAGAGGGTAGTGGAGTCAGCCTCATTAGGGGCATTTAAGTGGCTATTAGATAGGCATATGGATGATAGTATAAGGTAGGGATGGAGCTTAGATAGACCTTAGGTTTAGGGTAAAAGTTCGGCACAACATCGTGGGCCGAGGGGCCTGTACTGTTCTATGTTCTATGACTGTCTGTGTGGAGTTTGCACGGTTCCTCTGTGTCTGTGGTTTGCTCCCACAGTCCAAAGATGTGCTGGTTAGGTGGATTGTCCATGCTAAATTGCCCATAGTGTCCAGGGATGTACAGGCTAGGTTGATTAGCCGTGGGGATATGGTAGGGGGCTGGATTCAGGTAGGATGCTGTTTGGAGGGTTGCTGTAGGCTCAATGAGCTGAGTGGCCTGCTTCCATTCTGTAGCGATTCTGTGATTCTACTTCAATTCTATCTTCCTGCAAAATCCCCACATTTCTTCATTCCCTGAGTACTCAAAAATCCATCAATCTCTGTTTTGAAGATATTAAACTGCTGAGTATACGTAACATACTCTCTGGTATAGAGAATTAGAATTATTCCTGAATTTCTGGGTGGAGACATTTCTCCTCCTCATAATCCTAAATGGCAGACCTTCATCCTGAGATTGAGATGCCATGTCTTCAATTTCTCATGCAGCAGAGATCTTCTTCCAGCATCTGACCTGTTGAGCCCCTTATGAATTTTGCACCGGATCTGTACCATTTCTGTGCTCATTGCTTGTGCGAAGTGCCTTGGGGTGGTTCACTATGCTAAAAGCACCATACAAATGTAAGTTGTTGTTACCTTCCCACATTAACTGGCCTGTTTTCTCCCATATCCAATCTCTTTCTGACCAATAAAGGAAAGTGTGGAAAGAGAATTGAGGAAACTACATGTTTTGCTTTTAAACCTGCCTCATTGCTTCCCCTCTCTTGTTACCGGAGTAATCCAGAGGGTTTGCAACTGTTAACCCAGGCAGAGACTACTACTTTCCCTGCATTTAATCCTTGTGGCAGGATTGTGGGATTCCAACTGGGAGTTTCCAACGTGCCCCCTTGGACACAGTAGCAGAAGCAGCTATTGGCTGAAAGATAGGAAGAGGGACAGGTAGTATTGAGGAGGTGGGGAGGCTGCAGAAGGATTTGGATAGGTTAGGAGAGTGGGCAGAGAAGTGGCAGATGGAGTACAACGTGGGAAAGTATGAGGTCATGCACTTTGCTAAGAAGAATAAAAGCATGGACTTTTTCTAAATGGGGAGAAAATTCAGAAGTCTGAAGTGCAAAGAGGCTTGGGAGTTCTAGTCCAGGATTGTCTCAAGGTAAACTTGCAGGTTGAGCCAGTAGTCAGGAAGGCAAATGCAATGTTGGCATTTATTTTGAGAGGACTTGAATATAAAAGCAGAGATGTACTAATGAGGCTTTATAAGGCCCTGGTCAGGCCACATTTGGGCCCAGGAAGGATGTACTGGCCCTGGAGCGAGTCCAGAGGAGGTTCATGAGAATGGTCCCAGGAATGAAAAGCTTAACATATGAGGAACATTTGAGGACTCTGGGACTATACTCGGAGTTTAGAAGGATGAGGGGGGGATCTAATTGAAACTTTCAGAATACTAAATGGCCTGGACAAAGTGGATGTTGGGAAGATGCTTTTATTGGCCAGAGTCTAGGACCCGAGGGCACAGCCTTAGAGTAAAGGGAAGACCATTTAGAACAGAGGTAAGGAGAAACTTCTTCAGCCAGAGAGTGGTGAATCTATGGAATTCACAGAAGGCTGTGGAGGCCAGGTCATTGAGTACATTTAAGGCTGAGATAGATAGGTTCTTGATTATCAAGGGAATCAAGGGTTACGGGGAGAAAGCAGGAGAATGGGGTTGAGGAACTTATCAGCCATGATTGAATGGCAGAGCAGATTCGTTGGGGCGAATGGCCTAATTTCTGCTCCTATGTCTTATAGTCTTAATCAAATGTAGTTTTAACCATTTGTAATTGTGGTATCTTTACCAATGTTCTAGCAATTAAAGTCCTCCATTTTCTATAAAAATGATGGTCTTAACAATAAGTCAATCTTGTTCAGCTGGGTTAATTTCAGAATAAAAAGCTTAAACAAATAATCTAGGTTGATGTACTTCAGTGCAGTGGGAGTGCTGCA